TTTTTTTTTTTTTTTTTTTTTTTTTTTTTTTTTTTTTTTGTGACCTAACTAATTGAAGGGAATGGAAAAGAGGGAGAAGTTTCACTTATATCTTTGATTAATTTTGTTTTGACTTTGTTTCGGTGGCAGCATGAAGAGACATATCTCATCACTATCATTTGCAAAAGATAATCTTTTCATAATATTATTTCCATTCCCCCTTAGGTTTCATGCCTTGTTCTAATTCAACCATGAGACAGATATGTGTTATCCTTATCTTCTTATTTAACTAAAAAAAAAAAAAGAAAAAGAAAAGAAAAGTAGAAATTTATCTTTAATTTTGTTAGGAACAAAATAGATTTATTGTTCGAAGAGTGCATAATGACCCATGAGTACCTGTTTGATGGGAGGGGCTCGTCCATTGTGGGTAAACTGGTAACCTGTTTCAAAATTTAATATTTTACTTATTCCATGCAATTTTAGATATTTGTTCAAGAATATACAACAAATGTGAGAATATGAGGATTCAAATTTTCAACCATCAGTCCAAGAATACATATTAATGATTTGTTGAGTAACTCAGGTTTGACAAAAAAGATTAGATTCAAAATAAAATATTTTCTAAAGATGTAGTTATCAAACTAAATGACACATTTTTGCCCAAACAATTAAATAGAAAAGGCATGTAATTTGCCTTCAATGAACATCCCTATCTTTTGCTTGATCTTATCATCAAGAAATTAAAGAAATAAGTGTGTAAATAAATCATCATTTAGGCTTACTTTTTCAAACCATCTGCTCGTAAATGCATTCCATGTCCCTGGCCAAGGATTAATGGCTGTAAGACTAAGTTAAATGAATGTGGATGAGGATTGGATTGGATCACATCAGATCAAAAACAAACATTTATAATAATAAGATTGAAAATCACGTGCGTCAACATTGAAAGATACCCCCACCTCCCAAAAAACCAATATTTAGATGATGAATTGCAGCTTCTTGATTCAGCATAGAATAGATTTTATTTTGCAATAAGTAAGATCAATCCTAATTCATTCTAGTTTCTGTTCAAAATTCATATAGATATATGCATATGATAGTTCTTTGTCTCACTTGTATGGACAAGAGAAGAGGACAGGATAAGCAATGGCACAAACAAATATCATTAGATTTTCAACAGCCATCAGGAGCAAAACATCAAGCAAGTAATCCTTAAAGGTATGCAACTATCTTGAACTATATAACAACGGATACAGAAAGAGAGAAGAGCAGAAAATAGCACAAACCTGTACATTGGAACCCCAGAGACAAGAAAATTCAGCTAATCAGCCAAGAAGACCATCCCAACAGAGGAAGGACCAAGAGACAGCTCTGATTATACCGAGTGCACTTCGATGGCCCAATGGAGACGTGTTTGGGAACTCTACAAGCATAACACCTAGAATGAGCATAATTCAGGGGGTGGGTGACATTTAGCAACCCCCAAATATCCAAGGAAACAACCCATGGCCGTGCTGAGTAGCACATTTGCTGGGATAAACCACCAATGGGTAGAACTCCAGAGCGTGATATACTTGGCCCAATTAAGTGAAAATCAAGCAGGACAAGAACAAGGCAAAAACAAGTTTGGAAAGCAGCCTAAATGTTGCTTTTGGGATCATAGTCCAATTACTGCGTGGCAGATAAGCTTCATTAACGGCACAATTGCAGCAACTAGGTCTTCTTCACTAGATTTTGTCTTTCCATAAAGCAATCTAAAGTTTATTTTTCTATAAAGAGAACATCAGAGAGGTCCAAAAACACAGAAACAAAATAATCCGAAATTTTCATACAGAGCACCACCATAAGTAAATTTGAATCTCCTAGAGAGAAATTTCGGTTTCCGGACACTGATTTAGCGTTTAACCAACACAAAATGCATACAGACACAACCAAAACTAGATGATGAGTACATGTTCGAATCAGCTCGGAATACTAAACCGCAACGAGGAAGCAATCAGAATTGCTAAAGTCGATGATTACTAATACGAAATGTATCATATAGACTGACATTGAAATCGAGACGAGAAAGTTCGTAACGAAATCGACAAGAACACAATCCAGATAGAAAATTAATGCAGTCCATACAAAAGGAAAAACTAGAAATCAAAATCAATCATGAAACTAAGAATTGGCGGAACGACGGAGAACTTACGTAGCGAGCGGGAGAGAGAATGGCAGGGGGAAGCTAGAGATTGACGACGAAGCTTACGAACCAGGTTGGTGTAAAGAGTCGAATGGCTGGATTCGCCAAAATTAATAATAAAATAATAATAATAATAATAAAATAATAATAATAGGTTAAATACGGCTTTTAATCCTGTTTTCAGTTTAGTCCTTGTATATATATATATTTTTTAATATTTTCAATCCTAATTATCCCATTCGGTAAATATTAAAAATTTAAAATTAGCTTATGATAACCTTATGTTAGATGATAAATTAGTAAAAATGTAGACAGTAAGTCGTAATACTTGAAAGTAAATTTACTAATTTATCCTTTGGTAGATAAGAAATTGGCCATACTTTTCGACTTTTCATATACCAAATGAGGATCCCGATCTTTTGATTTTGTGTATAATAATTTTGTTATTTTTTTAAAAAAATCCAAAAGAAAAAGACCGTTAGACTCATTGATTTGAAACCTTTTTAAAATGAGACAAAAGTTAATGAAATAAACTTGTAATTTAATAAATTAGAAAATTTTCACATTTACAAAAAGTAGGTTAAATAATAAGTTTGATGCTTGAACTTTAAACATTATTTGTGTGTCCTTTACGCCCAATCATTTCAAAAAACACTTGTCCGTTTTAGAAATTTCGAGAAAGATTCCTTGTCTGAAGGCATCGTACGAAGAAGGAAAAAAATTAGAATCATTTTATTAGAGAGAAGAACTGACATATGTAAAATCTTGTAGGCCAAATAACATAAAAAGTGTTGGTTTCGGGTACAGTTATGTTCAGACGGTAGCCAATTTAGCCAACTTCTCTAATTAGAGCCAATGACTTAGCACCTTCTTAAGAATATGTTATGTTTATAAGTCTCAAAATTTTAAGGTTATCTTTAATAAACTCCAATCCTTAGATTGAAAATGTGTTTAATTAGTACCTAACCAATATGAAAACTTTCATAGTACATTGAAAGCTTCAAGATACTGTTCGAAACTTGAAGACATTCATTTCCTTGTTTTAATTCAACAATGTGTGAGATAAGAACTCAAACCTGCCATCTTTGAAGTTATAATACATTAACGAGTTGAGCTCTCTCCAATGTTTACAGGACTATTTCAAATTGAATGGAAAAACAATGTAAGAACATGTGAAGCAAATGCATTTGGTTAAAAGTAGAATGCAAAAAGAAAAAGAAAAGAGAAGAAAAATGAGCGGAAAACAGAAGAGAAAGAACAATGTTAATAAGGGGAAGGGCACTTTTTGAATTTCCTTTTGTGTGTTAGTAAAGTGTAAAGCAAGAGAAGAAAGCAGAGAAAGAAACAAGAAAGGTTGGTGGTTGAAGAGTAGCAGACAAGGAAATAAGGCATGGGGAGATGATATGGAACCAAAGAAACCATTAAACAAAAAACCCTGCCTGCCTAAGCATAAGTAAGCAAGGACTTGACAACACCAAAAATGACCATTATTTGCTTCTGATTCTAAGATTCGGATTCCTGGGAAACCCACCAAAAGGCCGAAGGTCACACCACGCCCTCCCCTCCCCTCTACTTGCCCTAAAACGCCAAGTTCAAACAAACCACATATTCCCTTCTCTTTTCATCATCCCCCTTGTATAGTCTTAACTTAAACATAATCTAACTTCAAACCTTTAATCGCTCACCAAAATGATCTCCATGGGACGAGGACGGAGAAGTCTTCCCTGTTTTAGGCACGGGTTTTGGTAACAAGTAGAGTAATCTAAGTTTTTTCTAATAGAAATATGGTACAAATGAAGAGGTTACAATACAAATAGAAAACCCTGAGTTTGTTTACCTAGACTAAGCAAGTTTAACTTGTGAACCAGGAGAGAGAGAGAGAGAACTAGTTAGAATGGGAAGTGATGGTTAGAAATGGGGTTGGAAAAGAACCAAACCAAAATGGCTGTGTTTTTCTTGAGTGTTTGTCAGAGAGGTAAAGCTGATGAGCCTGAGAGTGAGAGTGGAGAGTGGTTTAGTACACGGAATGCCAAACAGTGAAGTTTTCTTTATTATTATTATTTCTTTTGTAGACTAAAATTTTGAGGAAGAATATATATATCTACACCAACTAGTCTTTCGTCTAAGACGATATAACTAAAATAAGTTGAAGATTTGAATCTCCAACCTCTTCACCCGACTCACGTGGTTGAATGAATACGAATTTCTATCCTTTTTTTCATGTATTCGAAACAAAACAGATACACTATCATTAATGAACTTATGCTATCATCTACTATGTCAACAATTCATTTTTTTTTACAAAGCTCCAGCAGTAAAGACACACACCTATACAAAACTTTTCTCAGACAATATTATTTACCAAGCTATATCTTGGTATAAACTGTCTAATATTTTCACTTCCTATAGTTATACCTCCCTTATTGCAAATTGGGAAGATCCCTTTTGTAAATTTCAATCAACAACGAAATTGCTTCCTTAAAAAAAAAAAAAAGCTTAGCAGAGGATTAAAATCAAACATTATGCAATGCAAAAGAGGATAAACATCAAGAGAAAAGCTAAGTAATGAATGAAACAAGAGTGGTGTAATGTAGAGACAAAGTGGTCATGGATGGAGATCATGAGTGGGAAATGGAATAACAATAAGCACCTGCTAATTAGGAGATTATTCAAATTTATACAAGATAGAAAAGTTCAATAATCAATAGACACAAAATATTTTAGTACCCAAAATTTTGTTTTGTTTTGGGTACTGTGTGTGTGAAACAGTGAGAGAGTAGAGAGAGAATGCATGAGAATGCTTTGGGCCATACAGCTGTGTGATATGAAATCTAGGCAGAGAGTACAAGACCAAAGACTTGTCCACTCCACTTGAAATGAAAGGACTTTCACTTTCTAACACATCAGCTAACTTGTCCTTTGCTTTCTCTTGTCTTTTCATGCATTACATTAACACCTAACCTCCCCTTCCCCTTCCCCATCCTCTTTTCTTTATAAATCTCTCAACCTCTCAATCTTGATCCCATGCCAACCAACAATCGGTTTCTATGCAGGGTATTGAGCCAACAGCTTCAAAATCCTCTATCCCAAGATTTCTTATTTGTGTTACTAAGACTTTGAGAAGAGGGAGCTCTCTTCAGTCCAGTCCAAGGCAGCTTCTCGGTTGCTACTTAGCTGCTGACTCGTTGGCTCAATAACTCATCAACTGAAATAAATGTTTGGACAATGATGTGTTTCTGAACCAACGATGCAGGAGCCAAGTTCAGCCATGGCTGTCACGTCTTGGACTGAAGGGAGCTCCCTCGCCATCCACTACCTTTGTTTCTCAACCTTCAAATCCTGATTACCAATCATCTCATGAAGTTTTTGTTATATTATATTCTTCTTAACAATATTTACAAATTCCTAGACAAGTTTTGGTAACTAACCAATGGACGTTTTCTAAATCTTGTTTTGTTTCTTTTGAAACTTGACAATGAGTTCAAGTGTTCCCATAGAGAAATGGAAACTACTGCAAAAAAAAAAAAAAAAAAAACCAAAAAACAAAACAAAAAAACAAACAAACGAACAACCAAATGGTTATTGAATGGGCCCTAGAAACAATGCATTTACTTTCAGATATGGCTCCAGATCTACACGTACTGATATTTTTCTTTGATGTAGATAGAAGGGAAAGGAGGAACTGAGGCTCACTGATTCTGAGATCATGAAGATGCAGCAGATAAGATAAGGGCTTTTTTTTCTCCCACTAAGTTCTTAGACTCCTAAACCACTAGAAATTCAAATAAGAGAAGTTTTCTACAAATGGGTATATTAGAAATCCTAAATGAGTCATAACTCTTGCAGGAAAGTAAGCAGCTTCGTTCAAATATGTAAATTTGTGGAAGGATTTAGTCCTATGGCTGGTTTTACGAGACTTTATTCTATGTTATGACTTGGATTTCCTTATACTTAATTATTATTTAGAGTTCATAACATGGGGTTTGGGTATGTTAGATATGGAGTGGCATCACAATACGGCTTAAGCATTGAGTGTATATTTCTGGGTTTTTCTTGTCTTTGAGTTTCGAATGGTTCTGAGCTAATACCTTGCAATTTTGGGCTCTTAAAATACCCAGGAATAATCTGATCTCAGTGCAAATCCCAGCACTTACAAGAGAAATTACTCGATGACCAACTTGATTCTTATTTAGTTCGTGGTTTTATCCTTTCTAAGAAACTATAAATTCAGATTCGTACCGTCATGCAACATACATATTTCTTGGAAAGAAAATAATGGATGAAGCAGTGAAATCCATATCATAAACAATTGAGTAAGATTAAGTTAAATAAATGCCAAGCATCAAAATGAACCATAGAAATTGATGAACAAGCTTAACATTTACCCAACTTTTCAGAACAATAAATTAGTTTTCAAGCGGTACAAATTAATTCTTTAGGGAGTGTGTTATGATATATATGTGCGTGTGTGTGCGTGGTTATAATACGAATTTAGCCTAGGTTTGGATTGATTTTGAGAGGATTAAAATTATTGTGGAAGAAATTTTAATCCTTTTTGTGTTCGTGAAAATTAATTACAGATGAATTTGCTTAAAGCCACTTTAGAATATGTACATTCATTTTCACTTGCCAAACACTTCGGTATGTATTACAATCACTCTTCTAATAAGCATAATTTGCATATTAAATTCTATGATAAAGCAATGTGGAAGCACCTGTTCAAGTTGGTGGTGCAACCACTTACACTAGATGAAGAAATGAGGTAAAAGAAGAGTTTTGCATATCACTATATCAAAAATACATTTGCAAGGGAGGAAAAAAATAACCCTATATTGTAATTTGAAAACATGTTTTAGTGGTAACTTTCAAAATATTTAATAGATCCCTAACAAACTCTACATTTTTTCAAAAAAATTAACTAACCTTTTAAACATAATATTGAATTCTACATAGACATTAAAACTTCAACTTAACTTCAACTTTGTGTCTAATATGCAAACTGAAATAGTTCAAATGTATATTAGACACAATATTGAAAATTTGATAATTTATTCAACACAAAATTAAAAATTGAGCAATTTATTGAAATTTCAAGAAACGTTGAAAAACTAAAGGATTTAATACAAAACTTGCAGTTAACATTTTTAAAAATACTATAGGGTACTTGGATAAGAAAAATCAAACGGGGAGCATAATCCACTAAGAACTTACAAAAGAAAAGTGGCTTAAAGCATATTAAAGAAGCATTGTGGTACTTACCTGCTAATGGGGTTAAGTGTTAGTTTACACTTTGGAGTCAAGATGCCATGATGATGCACAACTTCATCCATGCTGTCCAACCATCATCCTTCATCCTCTCCAAAAATGGAAACCTCATCAAAATTATTATTACACATTAAATTCATAACTCAATTATGTATTGAGTACCAAAGTAACTGCATTGTTTCACATTCTACAACTACAACAGCTTATTAGCTTAAGTAAGGCAACAGCCTCCTTTATTTGCCATCACATCTCCTTACTTAGCACCTGTATGAGATGAACTAATAAATAGCAGCACATCTAAGAACAATTAACAGGTAATGCCTAAATAATTACAAACCTTCTAGAATAAATGGTCGGATTTGATCGATTTCGGGTGTTTCAATATCGGCATCCTTCGATTCAACTTGTTCGAGAGATGGGGGTTTCTCCATATTGTCATTGTCAAAGGATTCAATTTGTAAATCTCCCTCAAGTTGGGTTTTGTTCAAGTTCTCATTATCAAAGGTTTTCATTTGTAGATCTCCCTCAGGTTGGCTTTTGTCCAAGTTGTCATTATCAAAGGTTTTCATTTGTAGATCTCCCTCAGGTTGGCTTTTGTCCAAGTTGTCATTATCAAAGGTTTTCATTTGTAGATCTCCTTCAGGTTGGCTTTTGTCCAAGTTGTCATTATCAAAGGTTTTCATTTGTAGTTCTCTCTCAGGTTGGCTTTTGTCTAAGTTGTCATTATCAAAGGTTCCAATTTGTAGATCTCCTTCGCGTTCGGTTTTGTGCAAGTTTTCATGGTCAAAGGTTTCGATTTGTAGATCTCCTTCGTGTTCGGTTTTGTGCAAGTTGTCATTGTCAAAGGTTTCGATTTGTAGATCTCCTTCACGTTCAGTTTTGTGCAAGTTGTCATTGTCAAAGGTTTCGATTTGTAGATCATCTGGCTGTGTTTCATCAAGAGGTGGTGGCTCAAGCTGCTGGTATTTGGGCTTATTTTTTTCTAGGAGAAGGTAAGCGGTATAATACCAGAACAAAAGTATCCTACTTTGAGCCATCAATGTACCCCCGATACGGCTTTGACCAAATGAAAGTCGTTCGAGTGCCTGCAAATTGAAAATAAGCAAAGGCATTAGGATGGAAACACGTTTAAATAATGTCTTAAATACTGAAAGGCTAACCAATTATGCAAAGATATCCTTAGAGAGGTTCAATCTTTCCTCCCAATACCAATGTACTATTTCTTGGATAAAAGCAAAACCGAATAAAAATAAGCCACAAGAGTTAACTCGTTTAATAACTAGCCAATTTATAGTTTCAAATTGAATCAAGGAATTCCACAAGCTCATAGGATCACAAGGAGGAGCTAATGAATATTATCCCAATAGTTATACAAAGAAACAGGGCCATAAATAATTAGGTTCCTGTGGACTTCTGCAGAAGGTGTACGACAGTTTTCAATGACTTGTTCCATGCTCAATCATTTTAATATCTTACACAATACTGAAGATTCCATATTCAAGTTTCAATAATAAAGATCATACTCTCGCTTACCTGTTCTCCAGTTTGAATATCAAATGAATGCTGACAATCAAATTGAAGACCTTTAAACTCATTGACGCAAAGCCCTTGAAAGGCCCTGAATGATGAAATGTCATTCGAGTCATTAGAATCAATAGAGAGATCATATTTAAATTTAACATGATATCCAAAATCTTATAGTGGATCCGACACACTTACCATCTTATAAGAGAAACGCTAGGAATCCAACGAAAGATGATCGGTGTGTTGTCTGCATTTACATAATAGCCACCAAAAACAATAAAAACTGTCATGAGTGAGGGCCCCACTGCCATTGCTGCTTCTGTGCTAGGAACCATAGCCCCTACAGTGAGCCCCATAGCAGATGCAGCAAAAGATTCAACCGTGACAATACTGCAGAACTTCCCAAATCTAGAAGTAGAAAATTTACAAGCCCAACCATCAGAAAGAGTGGAGCTAATTACAAGCCCAACACGCTCCTTTGAGGATGAAATTCATAACGGCAAAATTTCTAGAGATTTAATAACTAAATAAAAACTTATTGACCAAGACTACTTTTTCTTTTCGGAACATTAAACATTTTTCATTGATATAGTAAGCATTGCAGATACAACCCCTATAACATGCATCCTACTTAAGCCCAAATTTTCTAGGAGAGAATCCCATCCTAAATAGAAATAAATGAATAGGGATAAGAAATATCTAACACCAGTCCCCTACAAATTATTTTTTTTATAATCGTTAATTGTGGCAATGAGTGCATGATTTTGACAGCTAATTACGGAATGATCAGACCCTGACCTTGATACGGTTGGGTGAAGACGAGCCATGGGGTACAAGATAGCGCCAAATATCAGTGGAAAAGCAGCTCCAATTGGAATTTCGGCCAACAATTTAGAAAGTAGATATGGGCCTAACGTATAAGATCCCTTTGCACGCTCCCTGTCAACAATTGCACGTTCCTTCGGAAAAACACCCACAGTCTTGGTGAGAGCAGCCATTGCAGTGTTGATTGCTGCAACCTGAAGGGAAACATATCCATAGCCAGAAATTGGATTAAGAAGGTTGAACATGTTCTATTTTTGCATAGGAATTATTCTCAATTCTAGCAACCAGGGTAGGGTTGGGGGTGGGGATCTTCTTTGATTATAATTGCAACAGAATATTGGTTCGTTATTGTGGTACAAAAGCAACGTCAGAATATTATAGTTATACAACAAAGCAATTTAACCACAATGCTTGAATGGTTCCGAAGATACAACAATGTTTTATACCTGAAGCAAACCCATCCTATCCTGGATTGATGTCTGAGATCTTCCCATTCTCCAAAAGACTGAACCAAATATGATAGCTGATGCAATGGACATTCGTGCTCGAACCTTATTTGTTGGTCCATCCCGAGAAGCCTAGTAATTCATTAAAAGCTTTAATCAAGTAAAATAACTAACATAATTACTACTCACACAATAGCCTACACGTTTGGCAAACCACTTGTGACCCATTTGTTAGTCCATCTCAGGTCATTTTTATAGTATCAGAAACTGCATAACATAGGTTTTCTTTTTCACCCTCTTATTAACTTTTGTCTATATTTTCGACCTGAATGAGACCAATGTTTACCTGCATCCATGCGCGCTTGAGGAGCAAGCAGAATTGCCTCCACCAACCTCCTTTCTTCAAAAGCTTACTTTTCCTGGATTTCTTACCAGCCAAGACCTGCCTTTTCTCAATTGGGATTGCATACAAAATTGTTGAAGAGTATCGAGAGAATGACTCAACAAGACCGTAGATCCTCTTCTGAGAGGAGTACACACTGTCTGCAGAACTATAGTCAATTGATATAAGATCGGCCAGAAACTCAGCAGGATTCACATGATCCGGGCAATTATACCTGTTCAATCAAACAGAGAACTAATGAATTATAATACCTGGAGTCCAATTGGGTTGATTGAAATTGTTTTTATAAAGAAGAGAAGATTGAAGTAAACATAGGAAAGGCAAAAGTAACTTGCACGCATATATTCAATTTCTTTATCTTCTAAAAAATGTAAAACAAGAAAAATGAACTGGAATAAAAGGTAAAATGCTAACACTGGAATATGATATTGATTGGTAAATGCAGAACAAAAATCAAGTATAAGCACTAAAACCTTGTATGTGAAAATTTGTGGTTGAAAAGTACAAAGCTTGATAGTATACAACAAACAAATCATCAGCCATGGTCAACACTCATCAAGAGGTATGTGCCTAAAGTTTTAAAAAAATGAACAATACGCTGAAGGATGAGGCATATGCTTTAAACAAGGAAAATGCTCAAATGAAAAAAATATTTGTTGAGATACGGATATAGCTCACAACCCAAATTTAGAGAAGTATTCCAAAGGTTCCTCGTGAGCAGGACCAGCATAGACAAGAGCACCCTCTGTCAATAATACGATATCATCAAATTTGCTGTACACAGAACCTCTTGGTTGATGTATGGAGCAGATTACAGTGTGCCCATCCTTCGCAAGTTGTTTAAGTGTCTCCACTACTTTTTCTGCCTGGAATGCATCAAGTCCTGAAAGCACCATGCTTATAATTTTATTTGTAAGAGGCATTGTACATTTATATTCTAGTTATCGCTATTTTGATCAACAATCACTAGTGAACCTTATCATTCACGTTAAACAAAAAAAAAAAAACAA